CTCTGTAGGCATGGGAGTTAGAAGTCTGCCCAGAGCCGGGCAGGGGCTCCCTGGGAGTTTGGGGGCATTGCTGAAGCCCCCTCAGCTGACAGGTGCAGTAAATAAGCCAGGGAAACTGTGGTGGGTGAGTCGTTAAGGATCCCCAGGCTCCAGGATGGAGAGCCAGAGAAGCTGCTCCAGGCTGCCATGCTTGGGGTCCGAGTCTCACTGTTGGGAGAATTCCAGAGCCCTAGAGACACCTGGCCTGGCCCGCCAAGTCCAATCCCTGCTTCCGGCCCAGACACCGTCCAGCATCCAAGGCCGGCTCCGATGGCTCCAAACAGCAGTGAACGTCCCCTTCTTGGTGCTGTTCACAGGGGAATGTTGAGGCTTGTGGGGCTGCCCGGAGGTGGTGGCACACATGTCTCCATGGAGGGGTTTCACTGCCTCCAACAGGAAGGTCAGACCATGTGTCACTTAGGGTGTATTTGGGAGGGAAGACAGAAGGACCCAGAAAGGCAGAAATGATGGGAGAGGGAGGGCAGGTGGTGGGGCTGGATGAGCAGCTGGAATGAGTGCTGGGCAGCTCCACACGGCTGGGAGGCTGGGGAGTGTGTTTGTGTGTATGTGTGCGTGTGTGTATTGTGTCTTGGCTAGGGGAACACCAGCCTTTCCCTCTGCCTACTCCCCTGCCTCTTTCCTCCTCGGGGCCACGGGGAGAGTTGCAACACCAGCCTTCCTGTGAGACCTCTGGTCAGTTTCCCTGCGTTCCTTTGGTCAGTTCTGACCACGCCCCCACCTGGCTGCCATCAGAACGCCTGGTGTCCACCCCGTGCCCTGCACAGGGGATTGAGTCCCCCCTCTGTGCTCCCAAGGCCACCCTCCCAGCACTTGTCACTGTGTCCTGGAATTGCCAATTCAAGTGATGTTTCCGAGGACCCGAGGCTCCTGGGGCCGGGGCTGCCCATGCAGGCGCCCACTCAGGGCCCAGCACAGGTGTGGTACTTGGCTGAGTCTGGTACTTGGGCTGCTTAACAGATGACCGGATCCTGGTCGGCTTCGAAGCAACAGAGTGTATTCCTCCCAGGCTGCGGACTGGCAGTCCAAGATCAGGGCGCTTGCACAGTGGGATTCCGGTGAGGGCTCCCGTCTGGGGTGCACACTGCTGGCCTCTTGCTGTATTGCACATGGAGGAAGAGGCAAGGCCTCTCTGGGGCCTCTTTTTCTTGCCTTTTCTTTTCTTTTCTTTTTTTTTTTTGAGACAAAGTCTTGCCCTGTCACCCAGGCTGGAGTGCAGTGGCAAGATCTCAGCTCACTGCAGCCTCCACATCCTGGGTTCAAGTGATTCTCCTGCTTCAACCTCCCCAGTAGCTGGGATTACAGGTGCTTGCCACCACGACCAGCTAATTTTTGTATTTTTAGTAGAGACGGGATTTCAACACGTTGGCCAGGCTGGTCTCGAACTCCTGACCACACCTCGGCCTCTCAAAGTGCTGGGATTACAGGTGAGAGCCACCTCGCCTGGCCTGGGGCCTCTTTTCTAAGGGCACGAATCCCATTTGTGAGGGCTCCACCCTCATGACCTGATCACCTCTCAACCGTCTCAATGGCCCCACCTCCTCATACCATCACATCAGGCCTGGGGTTCCAGCATATGAATTTTGGGGGACACGTTCAGTCTGTAACAGCACTGAAAGAGCTGCCTGCAGAATGGCAATCAGCTGCATCTGCAGGGCTCCCTGGCTCCAGGCTCCCTCCTCTCCTTCCCACCAGGCTCCTGCCTGGAGCCAGTGCCCTCCTCCCCACTCCGGTCGGTTGTGGGTCCTGCCAACAGCCTTGAGGCTTCCGGCTCCAGCAGGCCCTGTGCCCCTGCCCAGTTCCACCCTCTCCAAATAAACGCCGCTCCTTCCTTAACCTTGCCCTGATCCCCCTGCCTCCGAGGAGCCCCCACAGGACGGCGTTCAGTGGGAGACAGGGCTTCCCCGTGAAGAGGTGCTGAGTGTGTCTCCCGACTGCAACACCTTCACACTGTGTGACCTTGAGAAAGAGCTGAGCCTCTCTGGGCCTTCACACTGTGTGACCTTGAGAAAGAGCTGAGCCTCTCTGGGCCTTGGCTTCCCCAACGACCAAAGGCTGTACTGAGAGTGGCTTAGGAGGGAACTCCCGTGTATGCGGCGGAAGGCTCTGCTGGGGCAGGGGTTCCAGCTCCAGTCGGCACCGCCAGCACCCCCAGGTGAGACCCCCCCAGAGCCCGCGGGGTTTCAGTGTCCTTATCAGCCAACGGGGCTAAGGAGCCAGACCTGGCTCCCACTCTGCCCTGCCCTGGCTGGGCACCGGACTGCCCATGGGCAATGGCAGAGGTCAGGGTGGGCTGGGAAGGGCTGGGGTTGCTCATCGTGGGGAGGGCAGACAGGACTTCACAGCACAGAGGTGGGCAGGGGTGGCGGGTGCACCTGCCTTGATCCCAGCGGGCTCAGGTGGGTCGAGTTGTGGTGAGCAGAGCTTTCCTGGCCTCCCGGCCATGCTGCTTCCTGAAGCCCAGGAAGGGCACCACCCCCCATCACAACTCCCAAACCATGACCCCCCAGCACGACCCCCACCACGACCACCCCATGATCCCCCACCACAACACCCACCATAATCCCCTCACCACGAACCCCCCACAATAACACCCCACCACGACCACCCCACCATAACCCCCCCACCACGAACCCCCACCATAACCCCCCCATCACGACACCCCCACCCCCAGCCCTGAGTGGAAATGCCCCAGGGAAAAGGGCCCTGTTGGGGCCCCTGGGGAGGCCCCCAGTCCTGGGTCACTGTCAAGAAGGGTGAGAGATGGCCCGCGACGGCCCCTGGGGAACAGCAGGGGTCATCCGCTGAATGCCTGGCTCCCTCTCCTCCTCCTCATCCTTCTTGGTGACCCCAAGTTCATGGTGGAGGACATGTTGGTGGACAGACAGGTGGCTACAGAGGGCCAGGGGGAAGCGTCTGGGCCTTCAGGGCAGCAGGTGACCCCGAATGTGGGGGCTGCTGTGTCTGCGCGAGGCCCACCTGTGTGCACGGGCTGTCTGCGAGGCAGGAGTCCGTGGATGTGTGTGCTGTGTGTGTCCGTGAGGGTGTTGTGTCTGTGTACCGTGTGGCTGTGGCCCTGTAGCGTGCCTGTGTGTGTCTCCGGGTGCCCATCTCGGTGGGGGGGTGTGAGTGCCAGGAGCTGCGGGACTGAGTCTCGGGTCCTCTGGACTCGGCCTCCCGCCTGCTGCCGGTGGTTTGCGGGGAGGGAGCGGGAGGAGGGGGCGGCGGGCGAACCGGAGCGCTGCGGGCCCAGCCGCGGGGGAGAGGGGGAGGGGAAGGGCGGGGGTGAGCGGGAGGGGGTCCAGGTCTCCCCGCAGGCCCCACCCAGCGCCCTCCTCCCTTGTGGTGACCCCGGCGCGGGCGAGGAGTCGGGGGCCTCGGGGTCGCCGAGACCCGCCCAGGGCGCTCCACGCGGACTCCGGCTCCAGTGCTCCGCGCTGCCGCAGGGCGGCAAGCCTAACCGTTTTGGGCTGAACAACAAAAGCGAGAGAGACAGGGAAGTTGGGGGGCGGGGGGCGCGTTTCCCCCAACCCGCCGGGGCCGGCCGCGGGCTCGGGGCAGGTGCCGGGAGGTCGCGCGGCCGCAGCGGGGCTGCCCGGGGCCCGCAGCGCGGAGGCGGAAGTGAGTGGGTGCGGGCGCCGCGCGAGGGGAAAAGTTTCCGACCCTGGAGCGAGACTCGGCTGAGAAGTTTCGGCCGCGCCAGGCGGCGCCAAAGCCAGGCCAACACTGCCCCCGCGTGGGCGCGGCGCGGCTCTGCAGCCGGCGGACCGGCCGGGGCCCGCCGCCGCCGTCCTTGGGGGAAACTGAGGCCCAGAGAGGGCGAGGTGGGCTGCGCAAGGCCACCCCGAGGAGAGGCGGTATAATCAGGCCTGATGAGACCCGCAGGCTCTCGGGGAAATAGAAAGCCTGGGTCAGGGGACGGGGCGTGAAAGTCCAGAAAGGGAGACGGAGGGGAGGGGACGTCCCGGGGACTGAATCCCACTCGGGTGAATCCCGGTGGAGGCGCGGCTGCCGCGCTGTCCTCGTCCCGTCCCCGCAGAGTTCGTCTAAACTGAGCCTAGCTCTATTGCCCTTCTTCTGGAGTCAGGGCGCCTCTCCCAAAAGGCCTCCCCCACCGCACCCCAGCCGGGCCCTAAAGCCCCCCACCGGCCGCCGCCCAGCCCAATCCCACCGCCTGCAGCCCCTTCCTTCGCCGCTAACCAGACGCCAGGGTGTGGATTCCGTGCTATTTCCTCAGCGGCCAGGAGGTGGCGAGAAAGGCCCGGATCCCGGGCAATGGCGCGGGGCAGGGGGCCGCTGGCAGCTTCAGGGAGAGGGGCGGCGGCTCAAACTTTGTCCAGGGGGCTGGAAGGCAGGTGTGGTGGGGGCAGACCTGGCGGGCAGGGGCTTGGCGGTGGCCTGGGGGGCTGGGTCAGTGCCTGCCACCTTGTCTTTCGCCACCTCCTGATGCAAACATCCACCCCACCATCCCCAGACGAGAGAACGGGAGGCCCCGGCCCAGCACACCCAGGTGTTTTGCCTTCCAGGGACCAGAGGCTGTGAACCTGGCCGGGGAAACGCATCAGACTAATACCGGGTGCTTTTCCCCGGGCTGGAGTCTGGACGCCCTCACTCCACAGTGAAGGTTAGATGGAGGCTTGGAGGCGGAGGACGGGGCGGGGCGTGGTTCTCCACCCCTAGGCTCAGTTTCCAGCAGGTGCCTACTTCAGGTGTGGGCTGATTTAGGTCGACAGAGGCTTGGTCCCAAGTTTTTGGGGTTTCTTGTTGTTTGTTTTTTGAGACAAGGTCTCATTCTGTCGCCCAGGCTGGAGCGTAGCGGTGTGATCACAGCTCACTGCAGCCTCAACCTCCTGGGGTCAGGCGATCTGCCTGCCTCAGCCTCCCAAGTACCTGGGGCTACAGGCATGCACCACCACGCCCAGCTTATTTTTGGTTTTTGATTTTTTTGTAAAGACAGGGTCTATGTTGCTCAGGCTGGTCTTGAACCCCTGGGCTCAAGCCATCCTCCCACCTCAGCCTTCCAAAGAGCTGGGATTATAGGCGTGAACCATCGCACCCAGCATGTTCCCAGGTCTGAGGTCTGTGGCAGGGTCTCTTACTTTCCAGAAAAGGGGTTCACTTGGTACATGTCCTGGACCCCAGGGATGCCCTGTCCCCACCCCTCAGCCTCATCCAGGCTGTGTCTCCAACCCCCTTCCTTCCAGGAAAACCCAGAGACCAGCAATCAGGTACGAAGAAAGGTTTGTGGTATGAGACCTACGAGCAGGTCCCCGCCACCTGGGATGCGCCTTTATTCGTGGGGCAAGGAAGGGCGATCCTCACGGCCTGGCCCTGTGTGACCTGTGCTTGGGCTAGCAGGTGTTCACCTCTGAGCTCGATGCAGTGTTGGGGAGGGCCAGAGGAGATGGTACTCCTCGGGGCAGCCTTGCTTCAGGACCGACTGCAGCACCAGGCTGGGAAGGAAGGACTCCTAGAGTGAGACAGAGGACCAGCTGGCTGCCACCAGGACCTCAGGGCAGGGGACTGGGCCCCCAGGGCCCAGCAGGAGTCTACGCTGCAGAACCTGTTGGACAGGTTCTGCTGTCAGCCCCATTTACAAGGTGAGGAAATAAATGCAAGACCAGGCACTGTGGGAGGCAGAGGCAGGCGGATCACCTGAGGTCAGGAGTTCAAGAC